TACATTTTACTGCAGAAACCAAAAAAGGGAAACAAACAGGATATTGAGACTTTAACTCCACACACACGCAGCTTGTTGGCACATTTCCTCGGTTGCCGCTGAAGCAACAACACACACACACACCATATACACACCGTATACACACACGCGCACACACACACACACACACAGCTAATCTGTCCCATTGAGTTCTTCAGCAAAAACAAGGCTTTTAACACACTAATCCGTAACAAACCTAGAAACATATACTCATAAGAATAAAAACCACAGTGTGTGTGTGTGTGTGTGTGTGTGTGTGTGTGTGTACCTGTCCAACAGAGGAGCTGTTGTCTCCTGTTGGACAGAGACACTTGGTGCAGGCCATCATGTCGCTCTGCATCCTCAGGAAATACAAAAAAAAAAATCTTTCTTCTTTTTTACTTCCTGTTTAGTTCTTATTTACTTCCTGTTTACTTGCTGTTTACTTCCTGTTCACTTCTTCCTTTCTTGTGTTTCAGCTGCGGGTTTTAACGTTGACTTCTTCAGAGCCAAAAAGGAACTTTAACCTGTGCTTCACACGAAGAAATATGAATAAAGAGGCTAGAAAAGTGTGTAAATATACCAACGTTGTTGCTTACTTACTTACTGTATTAATCCTAATTAACTCTTATTATCGACTCTTTTTTACAGTGTGTAATAAACATTAAATTAATAATTACTATTATAATTAACTACAAATGTTTAGAAGGTTTTTTTCATAACTAAGTAGCTGTAAATACCTCCGACCCTTAATGCAACGCTCTGTTTCCCAACTGCCCCTGAATGCACCATTAAATTAAATCTTATTATGAATCTGTCCGCAGCTAAAAGACCATTTATCTCATCCTCCTGCAACACGATGCATCTGGAAAAGCAGCCTCAATGAAAGAGAGATGATGATGAAGAGGAAGAGGAAGAGGAGCGTCCATTAAAAGGGGAATAAAATAGTCCATGAACAGAAAGTCCGTCTTCATTCGATCCTGAAACTGAAACACAGATCCCTCTTCACCTTTTCCTCGTCCTCTTCATCGTGGACGACGGGATTAAAAGAGCCCATCAGCATCATGGGAAATATGCAGATTAGAGCCGGTCGGGGTCGAGCTTGGCAGAAAATCTCACTTTCTCTCCCCGTCCTCGATTTACCCTGCCTGTGTGTGTGTGTGTGTGTGTGTGTGTGTGTGTGTGTGTGTGTGTGTGTGTGTGTGTGTGTGTGGGTGTGTGTGTGTGTGTGTGTGTGTGTGTGTGTGTGTGTGTGTGTGTTTGTGAGTGTGTGTGTGTGTGTGTGTGTGTGTGTGTGTGTGTGTGTGTGTGTGTGTGTGTGGTGTGTGTGTGGTGTGTGTGTGTGTGTGTGTGTGTGGTGTGTGTGTGTGTGTGTGTGTGTGTGTGTGTGTGTGTGTGTGTGTGTGTGTGTGTGTGTGTGTGTGTGTGTGTGCTGGAAAGCTACCATCTCTAGTATTACACATATTTTGCTCTAATCCTCTTATACACAAAATGTTTCACACACACACACACACACACACACACACACACACACACACACACACACACACACACACACACACACACACACACACACACACACACACACATCTGTGCCAACACATGCCGACACTATGGAGATGTTTCTATATTCTATATATAAAAAATAGTACCTGTGTAATAATAGATATGTGAGCATCTAATCTGTACAATAAAACACCTTTTAGAGAAATGTGTATTTTAACGTTTCCTCTGGTTCCCTGTGTCTTGAATTGACGAATAAGTGACTTTTTATCGGGTCTTTTTAGATTTGGTTTGAATCTATATTTTACCCTAATGAAGGATTTGAGGGACGTCTCGATCTGGAGTTATCAGAAAAACAGCTTCAGAAAAACACAGATTTCTAAGGAGAAATTCATGAATGTAGTGTTTTAACAGTTTCTTCTCACTGTGTGTGTTTTGGTGAGGATGATGGATTGGTAAACACATCTGAATCTTGAGTTATAAGAGAAAGAAACTGAGCTAACGTTGAACCGGATCACAGCCTATCAGGACGTCCTTTTTAAACCACAAGAAACATTGATTTTTAACGAATAACTGCCTTGTATTTTTTAATCAGTGGGTTTTTTGGTTTTGTCGAGAGAATACATCTGTGGCTAATTCAGCTTTTGTAAGGGAGAAGCAGAAAACTACAACTCCCATGATCCTCTGCTTCCAATGTGTCTTTGATGACTGTTATTGTTGTTATTGAGCGCCCCCTAGTGGCAGAAAGGTATATAAAGAAAAGGAAAAACCCAATATAAGAACAACATTTTACTATTTGATGTATTAGAGTCATGGTTTTCATTTTGATGTGGATATAGAGTTAAAAAACAATGACAAAGTCAGACCTTTGGGTTTCCATCTGTACTTTTAACTGTTGTTATTCTCAGGAGTTTTGATTTAAAGGTGACTGCCGACTCAAAATGTGAAGTGTAAATACAATAAAGTAGAATCTGTCTGACCTTTCTCATGTCGTCCAATCAGCAGCCTCCTTTCTTTCTGGAAGTTTCTGGATGTTCCTTCTGTCCGTCATCTTCATCCATGTCTACGCAGAACAATATTAACATATGTACAACATGTTAGTTAGCATGTGGAAAGTGATAGAAGGCTATTTCCTAAATATTTGATTTTCTGTGACACATTTGAGGGAATATTGGGTTATAACTCTAAAATATAGAGCAGGTGATAGCTGGGACGGTAGACATTTAAATATGTAGCTAGAAAATAACATAGTTTACTTAAAGGGGTCCTATTCTGCTTTTTAGGGGGTTTCCCTTTCCTTTTCCTTTAAATAAAATGTAAATAATAGTCTTAATAAAGTGTAGAAATAGAAGTAAAATACCTGCATTCATAACATTACTTAAATAAAGTGCTGCTGTGACCAAAAAAGCAACAAATATAAAATGTATCTTATCTTATCTTAAAAGTACAAGGGTCAAAAATTACTTTTCAGAATAAAAAAACAACAACAACATTGTACTTAAATACAGTAAAGAATAAACGTAATAAATGCAACACAAGGTAAATACGACATTTTAAAACCTTATAACAGCCAGCATTACATTCTTTTGTTAGTCTTAATTAAAAAATGCTCAGTATTTATTAGCCATCAAAGCGTTAAACTTACCTTGTTGACACGATGGTTCACTTTTAAAACACAACGGTTATCTTAATAAAACGGCTCCATGTGACACAAAGTGTACAAGATATAAAATGTTTACATGAAAGGAGTTAAATCAGCATTTCTTACCGGTACGAATTACAACATTTATGAGATTAAATCCAATTTTTCGAGCCGTTGTTTGTTGTGAGAGGAAAACAGAGTGGGAAAAGCGTTGGACTGCTGAAGTCTCGCGATAACTACATATCTCCCAGCTGCAGTACTCACGCAGCACCACAAGATGTCGCGAGAAAGATCAACACATTTCAATAACAGTTAATGTGCTTGTTATTAACTGTGCTGAGAATTAACAGTATACAGAGGTGGTAGAAGTTCTCAGATCTTTTTCTACTCCGCTTCATATATTTAATACCTTTAGTTACTTTACAGATGTGGATGAATGATGTGAAATATAATCAAGGGTTAAATCAGTCTTTAGTTCCACCTGGAGTAAATTCACAAGCTACCCTGCAGTATACAAAGTCATTCAAACTAGCTGCAGCTTTACCAGCTTTGAGAACACTTTCATGATCAATCATTATAAAACATATCATATATATTATTCTGAAATGGACAATGACTACTTTTACTGTCGCTCAGGGGCGGACTGGGACTAAGTCCGTCCAAATGAAATGTCAACGGGGGGGGGCATCAGAAAAAAAAATACAGTAGCCTACTATTAGTTATTAGAAATCAGCTGTTTATTAGGCTGCATTTATGCAAGGGATAATTGTCACCCACCTCTTGCTCTTGCCCTCAGTGGCGGCCCCAGGGTATGGCTGGGGTAGGCTACAGCCATACCAAGAAATGGCTTAGCCCCACCTTAGCCCCCCCATGAAAAATTATGTTAAAGTAAGCATGTTGAGAACACGGACTGCGAAAATATACTGGACACGACCCGTATATTTCTGTCCAC